TTTCTTCCTTTCTTTCTTTCTTCCTTCCTTCCTTCCTTCCTTCCTTCCTTCCTTCCTTCCTTCCTTCCTTCCTTCCTTCCTTCCTTCCTTCCTTCCTTCCTGTCTTTCTTTCTTCCTTTTTTTCTTCCAACTTCCTGATATGATTCTTTAACTGAATTGGTTACCTCATCCTTATTCAGATCTACTGCTATTAGTGCTTATAAAGTTACATTTTAAGCATAAATAAAACAGAAAGGCCATTTTCATTTATTCCAAAGATATTTACCAAGTCCTGTGTTGGCTAAAGATACAGATATGGGAGACCCAGTCTTTGCCTTCCAATACCCCACAGTCTGTTTAGGAGGCAAAGGGGTAAGTAGATGATTGTAATATAATGTGCCAGCTGCTCTATCAGTTAACTCAGGAGCAGCCTGAAGACCACCTGCAGGTGGGAGGGGCAGGGACACAGATGTGGTAAAATGCAGAAGCCTTTGGGAACAGCATGTGTCTGAATCTGTCCTAGAGACATGAAATTGGAGAAGCCAACAGGGATCAGATCTTGAGGGTCTGTAGCCATACTAAGGGACTTGCTTTTATGCTGAAGAAAATGGGAACTCACTGAAGAATTTTAGGGGAAAACAATTTCTATGACAGCAGTGGGGGGAACTTTCTCAACCTGATAGAGGATGTTTATAAAAAACCCACAGCCTTCATCATACTCAATGGCAAGCTTTCCCCCTAAGAGCAGTAACAAGACAAGCAATGCCTACTCTTGTCATTCCTAGTCAACCCTGTACCAAAGGTTCTAGCCAGGGCAATCGGGTAAGAAAAAGAAATGAAAGGCACCCAAATTAGAAAGGAAGAAGTAAAATTATCTTTCTTCTCAGATGGCATTACCTTATATATTAAAAAATCACACAAAGGATTAGACTTAAAGGAATTAACCGTTGTTGTGGGATTACAAGATCAACACAGGGAAATCAGTTTTATTTCTATGCGCCATGAGCACCTTTTCATGATTCTTCTCTGAAGCAACTACTACCATGGTTTTTGCCTAACAGTGATTTTCTAATACCATCCTTCCTTCTACGTTTAGTAATTGGTCTTCTATTGTAAGGAGGACTTTTCCCTTCTCTCCCACTTATTTACTTATTCCTTGAACTATGGATTATTTTTTTCTGCTTTCATCATTATTTTTTATGCCCAAGTTGTCTCAGATTTGGCCAATAGGAGCCCATTCGTGCTGGCTCCTGTGTACTTTTGACCCATCTCCATGGTTCTTTGAGTGCTTTCTCGTTCACTGACACAAACCAGATGTACCAGGGTCATCTCAGGCTTCTCTGTCTTCAAGGAACCCTGGTTCCTTTTCATGGAAATTGGTATTTAGAAATTAAGATCTGGGCACTGGATGGACTCATAGTGTAGCTATTACTGAAAATATAGAAAACTGGCTTTCTACCTACTGCCACTTTGGAATGCTATTTTTGTTGTTTAATTGAAAAGACAGTATAAAAATATTTTTTAAAAATACACCCCTTGCCCACATCTTGTGCCAAATCTGTTTTTATCTGAACTTTCCTTCAGTTCTGTGTTGGAATGAAATTATATATATATGTATATACATACACACACACACACACACACACACACACACACACAACCATATGTCAGCTACTTATGTCTTTTTTTTCTTTTTTTTACTTATGTTAAATCCTAAATATGTCTTTGTGCTGCTACAAAGAAAAGCTCAATCCCTCTCCTCTCAAATGGCCACCCATCGTTCCACTGAACGGCTGTGCCCAGCACACTGATGTGGGCATGTAGTGGCTCTTAGGTTTTAGCTGTTAAGAGATAGCCCTGAAAATCTAGCATCTCTGTTTTTGCTTCAGTTGATTTGTTCCTTTGGATAAATCCCCAGGAGTCAGCAAAGATTTTTTAAAAAAGAATAACAGTTGATTTTCCTCCCTGTGTTTTGTACCTTTAATCTCTCACATTTCTTTCTCCTTCACGGACGCCTGAAGCTCTCACGGTGGGTTGGCAGTTCACTGGCCATCGTTAGAGTAATAAAGCAAGGAGCACCCACCAGGAGCCAGACTCTGAGCGACATGGTGTATAGATGTGTCTTGTGCATGCATGTGCAGCTGTGTTTCACCCGTCACAACAAATGTACAAAGTAGGTCTTATCTGAGGAAAGTGAGAGACCAAGAGGTTGAATTGGTCCAGTGGCAAATGGCAGATCCAGAACCCACCCTGAATTCTTTCTTGCTCTGAAGCCCTTGATCTTTCCCACACCTCCGCACTGCACTGCCATGGTGTTTGCTGGGCTGCCACACTTGGTCCCCCCATTCAGGCCAGACCTCCCATTTTTCTCAGCATAGCCTGGTGCTGGGACCTGACCCTGTTTATCCACATTACAAAGGACAAGGCTCTTAGGAGCTAAGCAGACATGAGAAGAAATATGAGTGGAATAGTCACTAATTAAAGGACCAAGCCTCAGGCTTGCTAATTAATTTCACCCCAAGGGAGGACTGCAGTCGAAGAGGCAGGCTCCAGATGTGAGTAACAAAAACATCCCAAAATAACAGTTGCCAAAATAAGACGGAGGTTTATGTCTCTCACACATTGCCCAAAGGCAGTGCATTACAGTGATTCATTAGGAGCATGAGCTCCCATCCCAGCACATCTGCATCCCTCCGAGCTGTACGCCTTGGGCTCCAGCCTCTCCAGGCCTCTTTCCCCACACGTGTGATAGAGTCATAGTGCCCAACCTCAGAGTGTATTTTTTGTGATGATTAATTATATTATTACATATAAATCACCTAATGCAATGCCTGGCACATAATAAGTGCTCAGTAAATATTAACCCATTATTGTTGGTCTTTTGCCTTAGTCTTGGACAGTTGAATATTTTTACCATTGATACGGATTTTTAAAAAATAAAAATTGTGGCCAAGACTAAAGTTGTCTCTCAATATCCTTTCTCTCAGTCTCTGATGATCAGCCCCCTGATTTTTTTTTTTTTTTTTTTTTTTTTTTTTTTTTTTTTAATATATTTTATTGATTTTTTACAGAGAGGAAGGGAGAGAGATAGAGAGTTAGAAACATCGATGAGAGAGAAACACCGATCAGCTGCCTCCTGCACATCTCCCACTGGGGATGTGCCCGCAACCCAGGTACATGCCCTTGACCGGAATCGAACCTGAGACCTTTCGGTCCGCAGGCCGACGCTCTATCCACTGAGCCAAACCGGTTTCGGCAAGCCCCCTGATTTTTAAATGGACATCCACTCATCCTGAACAAAGACTACATTTCTCAGCCCCCTTGCAGTGGGATGTGAGTGGAAATGACATGTAACTACCAGAATGTGTCTTTAAAGGGAAGAGCCATTGTCCCTTTCTTCTTCCTTGCTGGCTGGAATTCAGATGTGATGGGTAGAGGACCAGTAGCCATCCTGGACAACAAGGTGACCTTGAGATTTGAAGACATGCATGATGGAGCAACAATATAGAAGGTACCTGGGTCCTAGGCACCTTGTTAACTCTGGGCTGAGACCCTTCAGACTTCTTGAAACCAAAACTCTGTCTTATGTAGCAACTGCTTTTTTTTTTTTTCATTACAGCTGAACATAATCCTAACTGCTACCAAAGATATATTTTCAGGTGACTTGGAGCTAAAAAAGCTAGCCGTCCATAGTTCATTGGGTAACAGTGAAAGCTTGGAAGCAATGGACTAAATCCGACAGCATGGAGTTTAAGGTAAAGTGCTTCCCTGGATCTATCAAGCCAGCCTTCAGTGGCCAGATGAGCTTCCGATGGCCTGGGGTCTTCTGCTGGGTGTCTTATAAAGGAAATGGCAGAGTGGTGCCCGTCCCAGGGTAGGCATTCAATGATGTGTGTCAGCCAAGTACCCAGCTAAAATGACTACATTCCCATAATCTTCTTCTTCTTTTTAAATATATCTTTCTTGATTTCAGAGAGGAAAGGGAGAGGGAGAAAGAGATAGAAACATCAATGATAAGAGAGAATCACGATCAGCTGTGCCCAGCACGCCCCACACTGGGGAACGAGCCTGCAACCCAGGTATGTGCCCTGACCAGGAATCGAACCGTGACCTCCTGGTTCATAGGTCAACGCTCAACCACGGAGCCACTTCAGCTGGGCTTCCGATACTTCTTGAAGGCTGAGGTGGCCCTCTGATGTAGTTCTGTCAGCAAGATGTTAGCTGACATATCATGGGGAGTTCCAAAAAGGTTTTTCTTCTAGATAGAGGTGCTGCCCATCCTCCTGGTTTTCCCCTTCTCCGGCCTGTCTGGAATACAGATGTGATGCCCGGAGGGGCAGCAGTCATCTTATAAACAGGAACAAAAACCACACGCATATGATAGTAGAACAGAAAGATGGAAGAAGCCTGGTTCCTGGAAGCCCTCCCTGCACAGCTTCTCTCACTTGAGCTTGCTGTCTTCTAGGTTTCTTCTTCTATAAGAAGAATTTGTCCCTCTCTGTGTAGGGCACTGTGACAGGTTTCTTGTCAATGAAGCTGAGATGCATTCCTAACCCAGGGACGAGGCTAAGTTCCAGAGGGGAAAGACTTTCTTGTGAAGCCACAGCCTTTTCCTGCTTAGCAGACAGGAGGTGCAGAAGAACTTCCTAAAAACTGGACCAAGCCCTAGCCAGGGGTCCTCAAACTTATTAAACAGGGGGCCAGTTCACTGTCCCTCAGACCGTTGGAGAGCCGGACTATAGTTTAAAAATAAACTATGAACAAATTCCTATGCACACTGCACATATCTTATTTTGAAGTAAAAAAACAAAACAGTAACAAATACAATATTTGTATTTGCATGTGGCCCGCGGGCCATAGTTTGAGAACCCCTAGCCGGTTTGGCTCAGTAGATAGAGTATGGGCCTGCGGACTGATGGGTCCTGGGTTTGATTCTGGTCAGGGCACATGTCCGGGGTTGTGGGCTCGATTCCCAGTAGGGGGCATGTAGGAGGCAGCCGATCAATGATTCTCTTTCATCATTGATGTTTCTATCTCCCTCTTCCTTCCTCTCTGAAATCAATAAAAAATATATATTTTTTTTTAAATAAAATTATTGGACCAGTCCCTAGATGCACCGAGCTCCGGGGGAAGGAGGAATCCCCTGACCCCCGAGGAATGCACGCAGAGGGCTGTGGGGCACTTCGCAGCTGGGATGTTGTAAAGCATCGTTGTGTGTGGAGTCAAAGGTTAGAGTCAATGACCTTTAAACTTCATTCTAGAACAAAAACTTTTCTAATGGTCAGACATTTAAAAAAAAAGAGGTGAACTAAGTTTGTGTCACTGGTCAGCGGTAGTCTGGAGTGGAATACGCTATTTTCATTGCAGTTTCTAAGAAAGCCCTCAGCCATATCATGGCAATATTGAGTTTCTGATGGAATTTCAGTTTATGTTTTGTTTGTAGTAATGTAATTTATCCCCTGTTTTCTACGACTAGGATTTTTATTTATCTTGAATTTATAAAGTTAACATGGCAGGGAAACTTAATACTCAAATACTAATGGATTTATTATTTTGTCTATGTTTTAAAGCCATGATTTATTATTTTTTGTCTGTGTTTTTGAAACTGATTCTCGGGAACACAATTGCTTTCCAGCTATCTGAGGGGAATGTTTACATCCTATAAGCTAACCATTGGGGATCAGTTTATTGGCAGAATTTCTGTAAACGTGTGAGTGTTCTTTATGGGGAAGTGGGGCTCTTTGCCTCTCACGGTGGAAGCCAGGTTCTCTGATGGAGTGAATGTAAGGAAGGATAGGTTGAGTGCTTACCTCTAGGTTGATCCCTTGATGGTGCTCTCACGCCTGAGACAGATAGGAGGATGAGCTGCACATCTTTGCAAAGATACCCAATGGACTGGCAAGCTGTAAGGGCTCAATAGGTGTTTGGTGAATGAAGGAACAAATGAGTCCCTTTGCAGCCTGACTGTCTCCCAGATGATATTGTACAGTCCGTGTGGGTGCAAATCAGTGTTTCTCAGAGTGCATCACGATGGGAGGATAAGAAGGTGGTGCTTATAATGAAAATTACTCAGGGCTTATCCAGACCTACTGACTCAGACTATCTCAGGAATCTGCATTTGAACTCCCCTGACCCCAAAAAGGTGATTCTCCTGTATAGTAAACTTAGAGGACTACAGCGTGCATGCTGGCTGTTCTAGCTGAAGCTTCCACAGAGGGACGGGACCTTTGGAGGCAGCCGAAATCCAGCTGGAGCAGGATTTGGGGTGACCATCCTTGAGAGGGCAGCCCTAGCAAACTTGCTTATCTCTGACGACACCTACTGGTGGAGAATAACAATGAGCAAATAACCCCTCAACCTACAAAGGTGTTTTTTTCTTATGGAGCCTATGGTATTGAGGGTGTTGCATTTTAGTGTGAATTCTAACAGTGATGATTTCTATACCTAATGCCCCAGGAATCTGGGGGGCACCTGCTTTGATATCTGTATTCTCTTTTCACTTGCTGCAGGTAGAATCAATACATACTTGAAGAATATTGTCCTTCAGTTATTTTACATGTTTCTTAGAATGCATGGTCCTATTTCACACTCAGTTTGCAATATTACCAACTTTTAGATGACCTCTGAAAGGGGAGAATCTGTCTATTATTTGAAGGGAGCATGCCTTGTCTCCCCCGTTGATAGTGGGAGTGGGGTTCTGGGGGTGCCGCTGGAATAAGCATTTCTGGAGGTTCCCACAGGAGGATGAGATATAGTAGAAAGATTTATGTTTGTGGAATTACACCTCTGGGTTTCCAAAGTCCCACTTCCCTTAGTCCAGTCATAGAAGAAATATAGCTGGGGTTTCAGTAGAGCTAAAACCAGAGCCATGTCCAGAGTTTCCTTTCCATGTTGTAGCTGGGTCCAGTTCAGCATCATGCTAGCTGCAATCCATTAGTCTATTGCATGTTGGATCCACATGACCGTGGGCCATACGGACAAATGCAAGAGAACCAAGAGAGAGCCAAACATCCCAGGTGTGATTGACAGGCAAATAGCTTCCCTATGTCACCCCAACTTTACTGGGTGTGCATCTGTTTTCCCTACTGGGTTCCTCCCCACAGTGTTTTGCAGAGAATATGCATGTAATGTCTGGCCTTCCCTTCGCTCCCTTCCTGTTATTAATAACTAGTTAATTACAACAGTATCATCTCCATTCCCTTCTGCTTGGTCTTCAGCCACACTCTGCATGTCCTTACACGCTTGGCATGGTCTAGGGGGAAAAGCATGGGATTTGGAGCAATTGGTTCCTTTTGATGGGCTTGTATTTGAATCTTGTCTCCCACCCTCTCCCATTATGTTGGAAATCACTTAACTTTTCCTCTTTCTTTGCCTGGCAAAAGGAGCTAATAATACCATCTCTTGAGGACTAAGTGAAAAAAATATGTTAAAATGCCTGACACCAGTGCCCGATACAGACAAGTCCTTCATAAATGTTAGGTCCTTTCCCTTCTTCTATTCTCCTTCCATCGATAGGAGAGTGAGTCATCAAAATCCCAGGAAGCACGCAGCCTTCAGACTGCAGCAGCGTTAAGTGGTCATTAGTGCATGCTGTTCTGGGCTGTTCTGTGGGGTTTACCTCTTAAGCAGGCTAATTCCGTAAGCTATCTTTTCTTAGCTTACAGATTTTTCTGTCCCAATCGCTCTGTAAAGATTTTGAGCTCTATCAAGTATGGCGTCTGATGGTCATTAACAAGCCACCCACCTTCCTTCCCCACTTGCTGTTCTGAGAGGAATCCAGTTCTGTTAATATTTGCTCATCACTGGACATGGCCCACATCCCTGGATCCCAAAGCCAGATGCCCCTGAGCTGTGGGCAGGGCTGCCCCATCAGCACAGATAAGCAACTTGTGTCTGACTGGCCTGGCCCCAAATCAGGCAATGTCTCTTAGCCACTGGTGCCGAATGCTGAATTTCTTATCAGTAATAATTAAAGGGTAATATGCTAATTAGACCAGACATCCTTCTGTCGGAAGCCCGGGTCCCGGTTGCTGGAGGGAAACCAGTGCTGGCAGCAGGAGGAAGGAAGGCCTATTCTTGCTCAAATTTTTGTGCATCGGGCCTCTAGTTGGCAGATATTAAACTAAAAGACCATAGTATCTTGCTCATCAGTCAAAAGTCTAAAGGGCATTACTCTCAAAAGTTTGGTTCAGAGTTAATCTTTGACTTAAAGGGAACACAGAATATGTATGATGGGATAGTCCCCACTCATCCCCTCTTAGTACCCTGGAAATGCTGGGATGTTGGCAAACTGCGACTGAACAACGTTTGGCAGTGAGCGTGACAATAAAAACAGAGCCAGCTAACAAAAGATTGAAAAACCACACACAAAAAAGCTGAAAAACTGTAGTGTTGGCACAGAGATATGTGACAGGAAGCACGCTGGCTTGCACAGCTTCGGTACTTCCGAGGAGCACTAACATAAGTGCCTGTCTAACGGGGTGGCTGCAAGACAAAGCTGGAGGCTGATATGGGGAGATAACAATGAAGCTGAAACATTACCCTGCTTTCCTTGTACTTTTACTTTTAAAGGATGTTCAAAATCATTTCTTAATGTTTAATACGCTCAAAGGGCAGGAAAGAAGTGGTACCTTCATTGTCATTGTACAAAGGGGGTATTTTTCAGGAAATACACAAGTCGGGAGGAAACACCTTGGGACCATGTCCCATTCTGGGATTTAGAAGGTTTGAACATCCTCTATTCCAGGAAGCTTCT